AAACAATGATACCAGTGAATATGGCAACGCTGCTAGTCTTTGAAGCCCGTGGTTAAAAGGGTAGCTGCCGTTTAGTTAAATTTGTTAATTCCTGTGTCGAAAAATAGGTAGTTGTTTTTGAAGAGCTGCGAAATTATTATGATCGTCTTAGTTTGTTGTTGAGGCGTTGTTAGGTTTTTGTTTAATTTAGTTTTTAGTTAATTTATGAAATGAAAAATTCTGAAAGGCAAAAATGCACAGCTGACAAATTTCTATTTTATTTGTTTGCTGCCAGAGTTAGTAAATCCTAGAAAAATACGACATGTGCCAATTAGGGAAAAGAGATTGTCAAGAATTTTGCACGCTTAAAAAAATGTGTAATATACAGGGTGTTTCTAAATACATGTGACAAAATTCAGGAACTGAGTGCTCGTATGAAATTAAGATGGGTCTTTTCTATAACAAAATTTCCTCAGCCCACCCCTTTTCGAGATATCACCCTTAAAAAGTGGTGACTAAAATTGAGTTTTTATTTTTTTCTAAATTTTCAGTAAAGCTAGAAACTTGAAATTCTGTAATCTCAAAGGACTAACCACGGGTATTTTTTCAATATTTCTGTTACATTATAGGGGGGTGAAATTAGCAACACTTACTATATTTCATATCAAAACTTTTTTTCGAGATGAACTTTTATGCAATCCTTGATTTATTTAATTTTTTTTTATTCTTGAATTTTTTCCCCAAAACCAATAGCTTCAGAGAAAAAAAATTAACACCCTAATTTATTATTATTTTTTTTTTAATAAATTGAGTGGAAAACAGTGTAACGGGCTTGTAACTATCGTATCGTACACTCTGTCATTATTCATTTTTTGCAATAATTTACACCAGTTTACACTAGAAGATAGCACTTAACGAAGCGTTTTAGACACTAATTTTGGCGACTTTTAAGAAATCATTAACAAGACATTAGAGGCTTAAATTTGGGGATTATATTAAGAATAGTGCTGTCGACGAATGCATTTATTTTCATTAGGATATTTCAAAATTAAAGCCCTTTTAGTTTTTTTGGGAAACTGGAAGGAATTAAAACATTAAAATATATGCATATTATAGATATTATTGCCTAATTTATTTTGCCAAAATTTAAATATTTTGAGATATTCTTGTCCGATAATTATAAGGGGTATGAACACCTTAAGATTGAAAGAGAATTAACTTTAATTCATGAGATGCAAAGCATCATAATTGTCGCGTCACAAAAACCACCTGCTGCCAAGAGAAACTTTTGATTCAACAGTATTGTATATTTTGTGTTGTAAAAGAGAAAAAATTTTTTTAATACAGACTTTAAAAAATTGTTATATTAATATACTTATTTAATTGCACTTATATTTGTTGTTCCTTTAATACAATAAATACAATTTACCTATCTCCAATTCATCACTTTCCGTATCCATATACCTAGGATCCGATTACAATTAGAAAAACACCGCTACGTCATAACTATTATTTCGAATTTCCAATATACAGGGTGTCCCGAAATTAGACGATCATATTTTAACAGCGTAATCTAGATCTAGATCTAACGAGATGTGATTCGAATCACGGATCCAATGTTCGAATCCTTTTTCAAAAAAAAAAGGATTCGAATCCTTTTTTTCGGATCACGGATACGAATCACGAATCAGTGTTATACTGTGATAATAATTATATTTGCTTTCGAAACTAATACTGTTTTATACCTCGGTACTAAAATATTTAACGCACTTCTGGTGGAATTTAAAAACCTAAATTCGATAGGTCTTTATGGATCTAAATTGCAATAATGGATATTAACTAAACAAGGATAATTATTTTAAGATTTTATTAATTTAAATATAACTAAAATCTAAAATCATTTAGCTAAAAAGAACTTTACTTATTTGCAATTATCCAATTATTTATGTATATGATAATTATTTATAAAATATTCAATGCTGTAGCTAGTTTGTATCTATAATAAATAAGAAAACAAGTATTAGAAATTAAAAATTTAAAAAAACCGACTTCAAAAATGTGCAGATGCCATCATCACATCTTAACCAAATTTATATGGAACCATCCCTGAGGTACCCTCTTACTAACAAAAAAAGAATCATATGAATCGGACAAGGTGGTAAAGCATTATCGCTAAACATACATAAAAAATGAAGAGTTTGAGGATTTTGTCATGGACCCAATTATTAGATTTTGAACAAATTTATATGGGACCATCCCTGAAGTACCCCCTTTCTAACAAAAAAAGAATCATTAAAATCGGACACCGTGTTAAAGAATTATCGCTGAACATACATAAAAAAAATTAAAAAAATATTGCGACGAATTGAGAACCTCCCTCCTCCTTTTATGAAGTCGGTTAAAAATAGGAGTAAAAGTTTATATAAACATAGGTCCGAAAACGTTTCGTTTTCGAGATACAGGGTGTTACAAGTGAAGTCCAGATGAAATATTTTCTAAAATTTCTTTAGTTACCGGTTTTTCAAAGTTAAAAAAAAAATAAAATTTCTAATTCTACAGACCTACTAATTATTGTTTACACTCGAATAAGGTAACATGCTTTTCTCTTGAAAATGGCGCGTCTAGCGAGATGCAACAAATGTAGCTTTATTATACAGAAAATATTGGTTTTCCAAATTTTATAGTCAAAAAATCTGATGTGTCCAACACATGACTTTCCTATCTAGTTATTATAGGCTTTTTCTGGTTATTTTGTACAACTTATTGCAGTACCTCTATAAATGTTTAAAGGATAAACTAAATATATACATTTTCCACATACATCTATCTACCTCGAAACTTTTTTCTATAGTTATTCATTGAAAACGAAAATACTGAAAAATTTAAATTTAGCAATTTTCCTACAATTTTTCCATTACGGTCCATTTTAGAAAAATCATGTGTAAACAAAAATTATAGAGATCGATATCGCAAACAACTTTTAGATTGACAATTTTCTTAAAAATCAGAATTTTGCACATTTTGTCAAATTTCTCGAATACGGACCATTTCAGGAAATTTTGACATTAAGCAAAAATTATAAATAATAATATTAGAAGTAACTTTTATTTGAATAATTTTCTTCTCCAAACATAAATAACAGATATATTCAATAAAATATAAAAACGGCCTCCCATAAAGTACCCCCCCCCCCCCCAGATGTTCCAAAATCTAACTATTTCACGTCAGGTCGAAATAAAACTTAAGTTTAAAGCTCTCTACCCACTACAGCGTACCATACCATGACCATAACAGGAACGTGTCAGACACGAAAGAAAGCACTCCGGTCACTACTATGCCCACTGCAGCGAATCAGCAGCGTTTTATCCTCACTTACAACATAGCTTGCTATAGACGGTCCGTGTAGGAACCTGCAAAATATTCTCGCTGTGAAATTGTTGACGGTCCTGTCATGGCACGCTATGGTGTTGGCCGGTGACGGAACGGTCTAGTGGGCATTATCGCATATCAAAACATGCAAAGAATATTTGTTTGTATGTTTCGATACGGTTACGGTCCTAGTATGGTAAGGTGTACTGGGCAGAGACCTTAAAATTTAGTGTTTTTCTGTGTATCGGTTCGTGAGTTATGGTAGATATAGACACACAGACACACACGGCAATTTTACCCTAAGCTCCCCCTAATTTACCCACCTAAGAAGATGATCAATAACTGGGGTTTAGTCCAATAAATGAAGCGTAAAAAGGTAAGTATTTGTAACAAATTTTACCTAATTATCTTTAAACGTTTAGAAAATATTTACAAAAGTGTGGTATCAGGACTTCACCTTTAACACCCTGTATCTCGGAAAAGAAAAGTTTTCGGACCTGTTTATATGAACTTTTACTACTATTTTAGGATGTAGATTACGCTGTTAAAATATGACCGTCTAATTTCGGGACACCCTATATATTATCTATAACTATCAATAAATAAAAAATATTTGAGATGTTTGGTTTAAAAATAGTATTCCTACATTCGTATATTAACAAGCCACTAACCCCCAGTAGGCGGCGATAGCCAACGAATTATACCTGAATTGTAATCGGACCCTTCAGGGTACGACACACAACATAGCCAAATTTATGTAGCGAATAAGGTTCCAAATACTTTAAAGGGGGGTCATGAGATTCGTGCGGTGTGACGTCAGAAGGGACTGGATTGCTCTTAAATAAAAGTAATAAAACATTGTGTTTGTTTTTTTAATAATCCAACGCATTTACACCCAAAACACAAATTTTGAAAAATCTCACGAGAGAGATTAGGGGAGAGGGGAGGGAGTTGAGGAAAATCTTACGAAATCTCACCAGGGGGGGAGAGGGGGTCAAAAATCCTCAAAAATACCTCACGTAATTAATGGACGCCCCCTGTTTAATTTAAAAAAAGTTTATAGAAAAAAAAAAAAAACAAAAGGCACACTGAAGGCACGTGTTTATGACTGTTGGTGTTCATGAGTACGGTGCAGGATTTTTTTTTTTTTATTTGCGTGATTTATCGATTATTCCTTTTCTTTTGTTATATGTATACTTCCCTCGCGAAGCATTCCTATTATTTTATATTATGTACATTGAGAGAAATAACATTGAACTGGTTTCTACATCTTTAAAGAAAATGGTAGTAATTATCAAATATCAGAAAAAAATTATTGGTGCTACCAATAATTCTACTGTGATTAATGTTTCTAGTACACGGATTTGTGTATTTGCTATTTATAACAATTAAACAATTTTTAAACATCATTTGTATGAACTTTTTCGCGCTCGTACAAAATTATGTATCAAAAACATGTTGATTGTAAAAAAAATATAATACCTTATATATGATTTTAAAAATATTTCGGAAAATAAAAATGATAAAAAAAACAATTTGCAATTAAATACTAATTGACGTTGTTTATAGGTATTTTACAGTAGATATAATATTGTTCAGGTACAGAAGAATCTAATCTACTACACAAATAAGTAATTTGAAACAGATCTTACCATCTTTCTGCAAATTCTGCAAGACATCGTCAGTAACAGTGACAAAATTTCCATCGTTAGTCCTAAACATAATTTCCACGTTAGAATTAGCCTGATTTCCCAATATTTTCTTAATTTTCTCGGCAGTCAAATTCTGTTCGCCATTCGGCAATGTCAACTGAATAATGTTGGATTTTCCCAGTTCAGGTGCAAACTGTTGACTTTCTGGTAAGACGATCTGTCCATTAAGGTCCAATTCTACGAAACCTGATTCGCCCGAATTCGGTATAAAATTTTCCACTGTCGTTTCGGTACAAGTGTCTTCAATGATGAATGTACTCGATTGGGGAGCAATTCCAATTTCTTTTTTTAGATTGGCTATTGCTCTTCTACTCGCCAAGGCTTCCTTAAGACACGCTTGGTGCTCGGCTTCGTCGCGGACTTTCCGTTTTTTCGTGGGTTTGTAAAGGTTGACGTTGTAATTCAAGGGTTTTAGAGGGGTGGAACATGCAGGAGGTGGGCTAGATGTACTGAACGGAAATGCAGGATACTTGGGTTTCTTGGTGAGGAATTGGGGTTGCGGCAATACAATGAAATCATCTGGAAGATTTTTAAAATAATTTAAATACAATGAATATTTATTTTTTTTGCCAACATTGGTAACAGTACCAAACGAACTGCTCAATCATGAACCATATAATAAACTTAACTTGTAACGGTTTGTGTTTTATTCATAATGTAATGATCTACTCTTTGCTCTAGTAATCTATATGAGAGATATTTTAGTAAATAACACCATAAACATTCTATTAACTTTTGTCAAACAATTTATCAATTTTTTTGTTGTGAAAAAATTTAGGTAGGTACCTGAAAAATTATGTTCATTGGCTAGATTCTCTAATATATCCATCTGTAACATTCTTCCAAAAGCAACTAAATACTTGATGAGATCTTCGTTTATGTATGTTTCACCACAATACATGAACTCTATAAGGGATCGAATGACAGTGAATTCTGTGCCTGACAGTATAACTTGCTCAATGTTCGGATTTTGCTCAAACTTTTCCTAAAATTAAATGATTATACTATACAGGGTGTTTGTGAAATAAATATAATCCAATAAAGGAAAGATTGTGTTTTCAAATGACGTCAATTTCTTTTTCTTTTAATCTTCACTGAAATAAGGGTTCCGTTCTGTCAGCTAGATGCGAAATGGACTGTATATTTTTATAACTTGTAGAATGTATGATTTTTGTTGTTGTATTGCCCGATATTTATTTTGGAATAATGAAATTAAAATGATTACTTCAACTAACGAGTTTATTCAAAACTATAAACTTTTCATTGTATGACATTACATAATAAATATTATAAATGCTTAAAATTTTATGACGGTCATGCAGGTTTGAAATATATCATTTGTTTTAATGTGCGCACGTATAAAAAATAAAAAAATGTGTTGCTCTGCCGACGGTCGGAGTAGATCTCGTTGTTTGTTCGTTATGAGGTGTAAAAATGCTAGCAGCTGTGTGTTATCGTTGTGATTGGTTGAGGGACCAGATTATGCAATTATATACTGTTTTGTGATTGGTTATTAAGAGCGTGGCGATATAGTTATATCTGATTAATGCAGACATATATAACATCTAATGCTGCGTTTTTTTATCCACATCGGACACATCTGTCCCATTACATTTACGTATACTGAATCACGTGATCAAAGATTTTTTACATCTCAGATGCATCCGATGTGGATTCTCAAACGCAGCATATGTTGTAACTATTAAATACACATATATGTGCTTATTTTTAACTATATCTATGCAAGGACGAGATAGATAAATTTACGAGGTGAAGAGAGTATGCATTTGTATTTAAATAACTAAAAATTTTCCATGAGTGAGAAGACTATATTCTGCGTACGAAAATACTAGTAAATATGTTTCAGGTGCAAGGGATATTTCTCTTGTAATTCGAAATCAGTTATGCTTTATTTGCCAGGGCTGACTTTTGATTTGTGTGAGATTTTAAAATTTGGTAATGCAATGTACAGATTAAATAATAAAACATATTGTTGTTTTTATATTTACTATACATATATTATTTATACGGGGTGAATTACAAAGAGAGTACTTAAAGTATCTACTAAAAAATGCTTATCATTTTTAAACACACTACCCTGCGCGAGGAATGAAATAGCTATTTATGTAAACATTTACGAAATGCCTTATTATGTGTAATGACATAAAGCGCCATGATTCTCTGGGCTGAATACTTCAGATCCGCATTAAGGGGTTTCTATAAATATTAAGCATCAGAAATCAGATATCATATTACTTACATAAATTTACAAAAGGGTAAAATTTTGAACATTTAATTTAAATAAATAGTAAATAGGCATTATTGCTAACGAAATTTTGTATTTAAAAAGTAGTTTTATAAGAATGTTTTCTAAAGGTAGTTTTTAGCCCTTTTTGGTAGATAAATAAGAGGTAAAGAATCATAGTTGCTAGCTAAATTTTATTTTTATAAGGTATTTTTATAAGAATATTAGATGAAATACAGGATGACCTACTTAAAATTTCAAGGTTCATCTTATTTGCGGACATTGAATTTTAAGTCTTAAAACAAAGTAATCTAGTATAAGCAAAAAAAAAATACTAAAGTTACGTCCGATTCCACCGTTGTGTTAAACGGAGATTAAAATGACAGTGTTAATGTAAAAATGTCATTTAAAACTTCGTTTAACACAACGGTGAAATCGACCCTTAGTCACGTTAATAAAATGTTACATTACAAACCCCTAAACAACTCGAACATAATTTTCGTTTACTAAAAAAATCCAAAATTTAGCAATATTTATTTATTATACAATCGAATGCGATTTCAAAGATAACTGGATCAAAAAATCCGAATCTCTAAATTTTGGAGCTAAATGCTCAGATAAAAGCAAGCGACCGATAGAGGTTACAAAAATAAAAATAATCGATTTATCGATAATTCTGATATTTTTTAATGAAAATCGATTTATTCGCTGTTTTTAATAAATTATTTTCGTTTTTTTTAAGATAATGTATTAATCGATTTTAAAGGAAATACAAAAAAGTATACTTATTCAAAATAATCGATTTATCGTTTAATCGGTTTTTAAATTATTTGATTATTTTCGATTTTTCAAAGATATTATATGAAAATAATCCATTGGATATAATCGGTTATTTTACATAATCGATATTTTGGTTATTTTTTTAAAATTATCGATTTATTGGATAATCAGCTTTTTAATAATCAATTATTTTCGATAATCGAATAATCAATTTCAAATAAAAGGAAATATGAAAAAAGGATTATTAGAAAATAATAGATAATTCGTTTTATTTTTTGGAAAATCGATTTATCGTAGAATCGGCTTCTTAATTAATTGGTTATTTTCGATTAGGCGATTATTTTGGAATTATTGATTATTTTTGGTATTTCAAAGATAATCGAATTATCGATTTTAAAGGAAATACAATAAAAAATAGATTATTGATAATAATCGATTGATCGAAAATTATCGATTATTTAAAATAATCGATCATTCTGTTTTTTTTGAAAATCGATTTGTCAGTTAATCGACTTTTTAATTAATCGATTATTTTTGAAATACAATAAAATAGATTATTGGTAATAATCGATTTATCATAGAATCGGCTTCTTAATTAATTGATTATTTTCGATTAGGCGATTATTTAGGAATTATGGATTATTTTCGGTATTTCAAAGATAATCGAATTAACGATTTTAAAGGGAATACAATAAAAATAGATTATTGATAATAATCGATTGATCGAAAATAATCAATTATTTAAAATAATCGATCATTCTGTTTTTTTTTTAAATCGATTTATCAGTTAATCGACTTTTTAATTAATCGATTATTTTTGATTAATCGATTATTTTCGATTTTTCAAAGATTATCGAATAATCTGTTTCCATGGACGAAAAAAAAATGGTTTATTTGAAAATAATCGATTATTTAAAATAAACGATAATTCTATTTATATTATATTTTGTAAACACTGATTTATCGGTTAATTGGCTTTTTAATTAATCGATTATTTTTGATTTTTCAAAGATAATCAAGTAGTCGATTTTAAAGGAAATGGCAAAAAATATATTGTTTGAAAATAATCTATTGATCGAAAATAATCGATTATTTTCAATGATCGATAATTTATTTCGATAATCACTCATCCTTAGCGACCAAATGACTTTTAATAGATTTAAATTTTAAAATGTTATCTGGTTTCAGACATATGCATTTCTAGAGTTTTATGTGACTCATCCTTTATAATAATTAATATTCCTAAAGAAAGAAGCCTTAATATACTTTTTTCTGAGGTTACAATACAAAACAGCATTTTCTCATTTTGACTAATTTTTAATAATATGTAATAGCCGTAGAAAAAATATAATGTTCAACTCATAAGGGTAGATTTGCAGTATTAGCCTGCGCACATGCTATTTTTATAATACTCGTAGACAATGAGTAACATTTTTTGCTCTATTAACAATATATTCTATTTCAACATTTTACTGTAATCTCTTGCAGAAAAGTCCGTAGTAAATAAACGCTAACGAAATATTCTATAAAAGGTCTTCTCTTTACATAAAATGTCGTGGCATCTGTTTGATATTAAAAAATCACGTTAATTTTATTTCATAATACAAAATTCGATTAAACACCTTTTAAATAAACCTAATAGTTCATTAAGATGCTAATAAACAAAGTCCGGTCCCTGTCACAGAGTTCGGGTCGCCGCGTGTCGCCGCCCAGTTCCCCCACTCCGTTAACCCTTCTTTAGAAATTGGCAACATTTGCGCAGGTTTAAAACCGGTGTATGTTATATGTGAAAAACTTTTAGAATTAGTTGTGTACAATCAAATCATGGATTTTATAACTTCAAATAAAATACTATGCAGTTATCAATCGGGCTTTAGGAAAGCACATTCGTGTGAATCAGCTTTACAATTAGTTGTTTCAGATATGAAAAATATTCTTGATAAACCGGAAGTTGGTATCTGTGCAGTTTTTATTGTTCTTAAACGTACATTTGAAACAACTGACCATAACATTTTACTTCAAAAATTAAAAAAAATATGGATTTAGTTAGGGAAAATGTCTATGATTGGTTGTATAATTACTTATTAAATAGATATCAAGTAACTCAAATTAATAATGAGGTATCAAATCCACAATTAGGGAAGTGTGCTTGAACCCTTATTATTCATACTTTATATAAATGACTTGGGACAGGTTCTTAAAAAATGTAAAATACAACATTTTGCAGATACGTTTATCTATTATTATGGGGATGATTTTGCTGAAGTTACTGAGACCGTCAACCATGAAATGGGGTTATTAACATCTAAACTCAAATAAAATAAATTAAAAGTTAATGAAATGAAATCAAAATTTATGTTTTATTACTAACAATAACTTTCTATACAATAGATTTTTGAATTTAAATTTAGACATTAAAATAAATAACGAAACAATAAAAATGGTCCAAGAAATAAAGTATTTAGGAGTTATGTTGGATAGAGAACTAAAATTTAATAAACACATTGAGTATATCTGTAAAAAGGCAGGAAAAAAAATAGTATTTTTATTGTCACTGTATCTATTAATTTAAACTAAATTGACTGTATAATACACTTATTCTACCCCACTTTTACTATTGCTGTTCTTTAATGTATACAGGATGTTCCAATTTTGATAGACTACAGGTCCTACAAAACAAAGCGATGCAAGTGATACTAGGTTGTAACCAATATACCAGTATTCAGTTTATATTAGACACCTTAAATTGGCTAAGTGTTAAAAAAACTGATATATGTACAAACAATGGTTTTTATATTTAAAATAATAAACAATTTGTTGCCTGAATGTCTTAATTAACTGTCAACTAATTCTGGTCGCAGAAATACATCAAAGAAACACACATCAAATTTTATACAGGGTGGTCCATATTTGTGGAATATATTAATTATTGGCTTTATTATTACGTTTTGAGGAAAATC